ATATATATATGCGTTAAAAGCATTCATGTTTTTTTGTTGTTGTTGTTGTTTTTTGCAGTATTTGGGAGAGAAACAAGAGCTTTTGCACTAAGCTGCATCCCCAGCCTTTTCCATTTTGTTTTAATATTTTGAGACAGGTTCTTGCTTAGTTTCCCTGGCTAGGCAGGAACTTAAGATCTTCCTGCCTCAGCCTATCAAAAACATGCAAAATGCAGCACATGCTAATGGCTGCCCCAGGCGGTGTGTCTGGGTAGCTCTAAACTGATTCAAAGAGCAAAAATTGAAAAAAATAAATTAGAGGGTGGGATTTCCATACATCAGCATCTACTGATGTTAGCAGACTTTAGTCTGAGAGCAGATCAGAGAGTTGCTGGAGAAAAGGATGGGAGTGTGTAATGATTTTACGTTTATCAACGAGAGGATATACATAGAATTAAAAGTTAAGTGGAAGGTACACATAGCGGACTGAAATAATCGCTATAATGTTATTGAGAAATGTTCTTATAATAGCCAAAATCTTATTAAGAAGAGTATCTCCTGAAATCCCCTACATCCTACAAATCTCCAGGGTCTGGGCATAGTTTCAGTTTGTCTGTTTTCTCTGTGAAGTTCCTTTTGCTGTCCTTATGCACAACCATGCTACAGTCTTATAATAGCAGAACCATCTTGTGTTTATATTCTGTCTCCTTCAGGCCCTGGTGTAGTTATATATACACACACATGTGTACACGTACATACACATGCATTATGTGCACACTGTGGGTTTTCAGGAAAAATGGAGAACAGACTGATTTGCCCATGTGTTTCAAGGTGGTAGACTATGTGGCCCTAAGGCCCCTCCGGTAGCCACCTTGTCTGAGAAAGTGAAGAGCTTGCATTAACGCTCTTCACACAAGGGATGGTACTGTCCACCTTAGTGTCCTGAATGAGCAAGGGCACCCAGGGCAGAAGAGGCAGTTAATTATTATTCCCACTTTGCAGAAGAGAAGCTGCAGTGCAGTGTGGCGTGGACCTGCATGGGGTCACCAGGCAACAGGGTGCCCAGTACGCCGGCACTGCCACTCCTCCGAGCCTTGGAGCCTGACTGGCCCTTTGCTGGGTGTCCTGTGCTGTTCACACTCAGGACGCTGTACACGTGAGTGAAAACCTTTGCTACACAAGACTGGCGATTACTGTATTTCCTACTCCAGCTGCTGACCAGCTTCTGTGGTTATCTGCAGTCTGTTTCTTGGTATAACCTGGGTGCCATTTTAGGGTTTTCTTTTTCCCAACATCGCATCCCGTAAGAGTTCTAACAATTCTACCCTCTCACCCAGCTTAGCAAATATGCCTGTCTTCCTCTATTTTCCACTAGTACTGTCCTTACTAGGGTTCTCGTTTCTTCTCTGCACTCTATACTCAACTTGCATTTGAGGATCTTTGCTGACTCCTTCAGAATCTTCTAGAGTATGCTCATCCAAAGTATGCACCAGACCATCTCACTTCACAGCTCCAAGCTCCTCGGTGGCTGCCTGTTACCGTAGAATAAAGCCTCAGCGTGGCCTACAGGCCCCAAAGTGCGTGGGCCTTCCCAACCTCAGTCTCATCTGTCAGCTGAGAATAGGGCGACTCTCAAGCAGCTGCCCACTGTCCGCTGCTACCTGAGCACACGAGGCTGCTTAACACCCCGCATTAAGGGCATTTTCTGGGCGGACTTCTTTATCGTACACCCTGGGTGCACTTCGGCCACCTCACTTACACGATCTGCAGAAACTGTGTCTCCCCGTGTCCCATGTGGGCCCAAGTGCCTTTCGGAGCTAGCACCATCACCCCTCTGTCTCCAGGGCTTGGCACAGCCAGGGGCAAAGGAGGGTGCATAAGTCTGCTGGGAGAATTAAGCTATGAGAACCCTAAGAGTAGGGCCTGTCGGGGTGCAGAAAAGATAGGGATGAAAGCTATGGAATGAAGAGGATGAGAAAGGCTTGGCTCAGAGGTCAGAATGGAGCTGAATCTGAATGAAGTGGTGATCTGGATTTCTCAGGTGATGATGGGTAATGAAGAGTAAGGGTAAGGGAGATAGAACAGTACCAGTAAAAGCTTGGGGGCCTGAGCACATTAACCCTTCAAAGCCTAGTTTTCTATTTCTGGAATGCCCATAACAACAGAACATAACAAAATTACCCGTCTTGAAATTCTTGTTTCTTGAATTTTTCTAGGTATGAATATGAATTTCATGCACAAAATCAAAGAATTGCAATCTTTGGTATAAGTGGGTTAAGAAACTGTGACTGGCTGGGTACGGAGGCACATGCCTGCAACTCTGGCGACTCAGGACGCTGAAGCAGGAGGAGTAGAGGGTTGCAGCCAGCCTAATTCACTTAGTAAGACTCTGTCTCAAAACCAAAACAAAAAACATGCAGCAGCACTGAGGACACGGATTTACTCCCTAGTACTAAAAACAAAACTGCCCCAAAGCCCCAAAAGAACAAAACCACCACAGCTGTCAACCATGACAGGGCAGGATGCATGTGTGAGGCTTGCTGGAGAATGGAGAGGCAGAGCAGACAGGGTCCCTGGACGAGAACTGTACAATATCTCATTACTGCAGTTACCGTAAGCATCGCAATTTTCATAGTTTCGAAATTTGCTTTTGCTTGCTTTTCCTGGCTCCTCCAGCACTAGCTGTGAGTTCTGACAGCTTCATTCATCTCTCTACGCCTTGGTTTCCTCACTAGCTTGTAAAAAGAACACCTACGACAGAGGGTCATTGTCAAAAGTAAACAGCAATAAATGAAATGACAGAAAATAGTAGTGGTACACAGAAGTGATCAGCAGATGTGTCTATCACTGATTTGCCATCAGGGACAAATAACTGCTGAGATTAGAGAGCAAGGGGGAGGCTACCCTTGAAATCCAAAGGACACGGCCTTCATACAAGGTAAAAGTTTTCATAATAAGCAAACTTGCATAACAAATTTGGCTTGAAGTCACATACTCCATTACCTGACCAATTGTTTACTTTTTTTTTGTGATACTGGGGATCAAACCAGGGCACTGTACCCCTGAGGTTCACACCCCACCCCCAATCCTTTATGTTTATTTTAAAACAGAGCCTTGCTAAATTGGGCCTTAAACTTGCAGTCCTCTTTCCTTGGTCTCCTTCGATGCTAAGATTACAGGGATGGGCCACTATGGCTGACCTGACCAATTATTTTTTAAACCCAAGCTACTTAAGAGTTGCTTATATTGAAACTAAGTACAGTCTTGAGTGATTTTCTGCAATTTACTTCTGTTGATTTATTCACTTGAAAAAACTGCCTAACTGGCTTATAAATCACTTCCCAATGAAACTTTGTAAGTGGAAGGGTTGTCAGAGATTGTCTAAGTCCAATGGTCCCAGTTTACAAATCTGAAAGCTTGCAGTCAAGTGACTTATCCAAGGTGACACATTCTGAAGTCTGTGATTAGTCCTTCCTGCACTGCTCTCCTTGTCACTGGGCCTTCAGTGTGTGAACTGCATGCTTATCCCTGGTCTTATGTTTCTGATTGAAATTAAAACTGATAAAATATCTTCCAGACTGATGAACACGATTAGCTTCCTCTTCTTTTTTACTTATGTATCTTGTGTGCTTCCTCAACAATACGACCTTGTTATTAGGTGTTAGCTGTTACTAAAATTTTACCAGTATACCTAGTGTTTATAGCCTATATCTTCCAAAGCCAGTCATTAAGTAAAATCATGCTTTCCCACGAACTGTTTCTTTCACTCATTTAACTACATGATCTCATTGGTATGGCCTAGATGCTGTTGTAAAATTTATAGGGTTGGTACATTTTCTGGGCAGGTTTCTACAAAGTTTTCATAGTCACTGCTAGATAGGCTTCAAGTTCCCCTACTGGGCAGCATGGGCCTTGCCAGGTCATATCCCTAGGGGGGAGAGTACCACCTAATCAGGTGTGTTTGCAGAGGTCAGGGATACTCATGCATAGCCTGAACAGTCACCCAACGTGAGGCCTGGTGTTAAAAGATCAGCTGGTCCAACCAGATTCTTGCTCTTGGGAACAAGGCTCAAACTCAGAGGATTCAGGTAGTTAGTAAAGATGCCAAATCTGAAAAATGCAGAAACATAATCCATAGGGTAGATGTAGTTATAAGGAAGTAGAAACTATGTGAAAGCAGAGGCTCTGTGTAAAGACAAAGGCCATACAAACCAAGAATAAGGGCCACTTACACAGGAGTGGCCCACAGGGAAAAAGTGGGCTGTTGTTAAGATGCAAGAATTTATTTCATGAAAGTCACACTCCTACATGCATCAAAACCTCACGTAGTTCTTCACTAATACAGTTTTTGTATTTTACTGTCAGTTATAAAGAAAAAAGCGGTTAGACTTCTCTCTTGTTGTTTAAGGTCCTACAGGCAAGGCACCTGCCTTGTGCCAGGAGAGATGAAGGGTTCAGCTCCAGGGAACTTGTGAACCTCTATTTTCCTTCACCACTACTTGTGTATGCACCCGGGGTCCCCTATCCCCACAATGATTGGGTTCTTGCAACCCAAACGGTTAATTAAAATACCTGGGAAATGAAAGGGCGCGCTAGCGCAGGCGGTCTGCGTTGTGGTCACGTGGTACTGGCCGGCCACCACCACCTCTCAAAACTCTAGCAATTGTCAAGGGAAGTTGTATACATACGCAACACCTCGTGAATATTAAATATTTACAGCTTTTTTGTTTTTGTAGCCCCAGCTGAAACACGACAGCGATCAACTCTCCTAAAGCACAAACCAAGTATCCACGTGGATGGAACAAGTCCCAAGAGTCGAACCTCTCCCCTGGTAACCGGAAGGGTAGCCCCGTCCCCAGCTTCTGCTCCCTTAGGTGTCAGACGGCCCCACCGTTGGGCGCTGCACGCTGTGGTGGCGAAGCCCGGGTCACCGTCCCCAGCCCGCCGGCGCCCCGGGGGGGGGCATTTCAGGCGGCCCGAGCCCCCGACCCCGACCCCGATCCCGCCGCCTGCCCGGTCACCTGTAGTTGTAGGAGCTGAAACGCTTGCTCTCTCTCAGCATCGCCCGGTACAGATCTAACACTTGCGCACGGCTGGAGGCTGCCATTTTGGAAAAAAAAATCCAGAACAACCCCAGAGGGCCCTTTTCACCCTTGGAAGTCCTGAGTTGGACTCAACCCGAATTTCAGTTTCTGCAAAGACCACGAAAGAAACAGCATGCGGCGGCTCAGCCCGGCTAGCGGGCGGCGCTCGGCCCGGTGCGCGCCGCCTCGGAAGGCGCTCGGCGTCCCGCGCCCGGGGAGGCTGCGCAGGCGGGGCCAGGGACAGCTAAGGGGGCGGTACGCGGCGCGGGACGGGCTGCGCCCCGGGGCTCCAGGCCTGGGGCCGCCGCAGTCCCCAAACCACGCTGCTGGAGTCTGGGTGGGGGGCGAAAGTTGAAGGCTGGAGCTCTGCGAGCGGGCAGCCAGGTCACCCGGAGTTCCTTAGGACCGCCTAGGGGCGTGGCGCAGACCTTTCAGTCAGAAGAGTGGCTCGGGGTTACACCTGCCCTGGCGCTGCGTTGCCTGGGCTACCAAGCGCGCCGCTCTGACGCCCCGCCCCTGATGCCACGCCCCCGACGGCTTGGCTGCCCTCAGCATTGCCTGAGAGACCTTGTGCTATGTGGAGGGCGATTACTTTGGCAGAGCCGCATAGGCGAGCTTTGATTTTGGGGACGTTCTCTATGCTAGTGGATACAGCGTCTTGGGAGGATAGGTGACAGACTAGTGGCTTCCTGGTGCTCAGGCTTACTCAGGGCGACCGGCTGGGGGGGTGTCTCCTCAGCGGGTCCTGCCGGCTGTCAAAATGGCAGCGCACAGTAGGCACGGGTCCTGCTGAAGTGGGTGATTGGGTTCCTGTCTTGTGAGTTAGCAAGCTTGCTGCACTTCTAATTTTGAACATCCTGAGTCTAGGTTCTCTCAGGAGAGTGGCGGGTGAGTGGTGGCCCTGCTTCAGTGTTGGGGTATGATGTAGACGTTTGGTGTAATAGCAAGTTTGCACTTCGTTGTGAATTTTTCCCATTTCCGGGTTATTCCTTGAGGTTTTTGAGGTTGCATTTGTGAACCAACAGTCTCCAGAGTTTTGTCGTCTGTTAAGTGCGTTAGAAAAAAAAAGCAGAAGCCTGGGCTATAGATATTGTGATTAACTCAGGAGACTTTTAGGTTCGCAAGGATTCTGGGATCATTTCAAACTCAAGAGAAGCTTTCCCTTGGCTTTTCTCCGAAGACTTTAACTTTTCTTAGTCAGTGCCTGAAAGTGGTGGAAAAGTTTCTCGTCCTGAACTTTAAGGGTGGGAATGGGCGCAGGAAACCCTCAGCTGGTTCTGATTACTGTGTTTTGAAAGCACGTCTTGTTATTTTTGGAATCATTTTATAAGCTATGTTGAGAAAAGCCACAGCTTTCCGCCCCCGAACTGCGAGGAGCAACGTTATACACCAAAACCAAGTTTTCATTGTATTGTTGTCTCTTGGTATATCTGGTTTTGAAACCATATTTGCTCTATGTTGAAGCAGCTGTATAGTTTGAGAACTTTAAGGGCGCCGAAGTGTACTTCTCTGACCTTGTCATGCATTAGTGTACTTGTAACCTTGTGTCTTTGCCTCCAGATATACTTACTAGTCACCATGCAAAGGCATTAGGACAAAGATATTGGAGAGAAAGTGCTTTTATAAAAATTCTTTTAGGTCTATTGTCTGACATGTTTAAGATCCACGTCTGTGAGTCTCAAAATAGATTTTTAAAAAAACAAAGTAGTAAGCCATGTCATTCTTGCTGTTTGGTCGTGCCATTGCCTCAGATTTATTGGAAGGACTTTTTAATATTTTGAGTTTTCTTTTGGGAGTTCTTAAAAGATCTATGACGAAGGGAATTGCAGATTTCTATGTAGTAAATTCCAGAGCTCTTTTTTCTTAAAAAATGATATATGATGTGGGAAAACTGCAGTGTTAATGCAAGTTAAAGCAGAGAAAACTGTTGAAAAGATAAAACTATGCAAATGATTTTGGCCAGTTTAAAAACAACTGGAGTTGTGGTGTATGATCTCTCCAAGGTCGAGGCCATTTTGAGCTACACAGTGAAATCAAGACCAGTGAGACTCTGCCTCAGAAACCAAAACAAAAACAGTGGGGTTAATCTTTCTTTTCATGGCTTTGGCTTACAGTTTGAAAGAAAATTTGGCATAATTGCCATACACTTGTTTATGTCTAACTTATTAATCTATGTTATGTATCTTAATGATTATTGTAATCAAGTAAAGCATATAACAGTAAATAATTTAAACATCACATGTTTATTTAGAAAATTTTATTTGATTACAGTAAGGTTAAGTAAGATAAACTAAGGGTTTCTAGCCACTACAACTTAGGCCATAAAATGTGAAAGTTTCTGCATTAACCTATCTGTAGCTCAACTGTCTATAGTTCAATACCTATGTAAAAATATGCATTATTTTGTATTAAAATTAGGGATGTGAATGAGCACTTAATACTTTTTAACAGAAATTTCTCTTACCATCATAAGCAGTATAACAATTTACTCTCTTTAGGCTTAAATGTCAGTAATGAGTTATTGATTTCATTATGTAGAATATAGTTCTAAATCCTTTTTTCTTCAGTACTGGGATTTGAACCCAGGACTTCACACTGAGCTACTTTCCCCCTTCTCTCACTTCTATTTTGCTCTGTGACAGAGTCCCACCAATTGCTAAATTGCCCTGGCCAGGTTTGAACTTTGTAATCTGCCTCAGTCTCCCGTAGTGCTGAGATAACAGGCATTACCACACATTAAATTCCCTGGAGAGTCTGGATAGCTAGAGTTGATCCAGCTGTATAGCCTGACAAGATCTAAGTCTTTATGACACATTTGATTTATTTTTATTGATTCTTTGTTAAGGTAAAAAATGAAAATGGAAAATAACGCAGAATCAACTAAGTGATTTATACAGATGAACAAATTTAAACTTTTTTCATTCATTCCTTTAACTGTATTGAATATTCCTATGTGCCACACAATGTATAAAGTAATATAGTTACAGTGATGAGACCCTCCCCCCAAAAGAATCTTTATAGGGGAGTGGATGAACAAGCATTTACTTTTGTTAGGTGCCTTGAATGACATAGTACTAGCAAATGCTAGGGGAGCACAGAGAAGGCTATTCAGCTATGGCTTGGACCTCAGGGGAGACTTTCCATCATAGAAGATAATTCCAGAGTGAGTAGTCAAATTCAGATGATGAGTGGGGGAAGTTAGAGATTGCAGTGTGGAAGGTATGGAAGAAAGCATGTATTGCAGTCTGTGTAGACAGCTTTGAGTGCGTTAGTGTGACGGGATGTAGGACAGGAGGAATCATCTATCAGACTATACTTAGTTCCACTAGTTTTCTTTTTAGATGCTTTCTTCTGTTTGAAGTCAGTTATTTCTTCCTGTGTACTGGCTAAGTTGTAAGTCCAGTAGAATTGCAGGTTTGAAATGGAGGTTAGTTATCTAGGTGTTGATAGCCTTTTGTTTTAAATCATGACTTGGAAATTTACACTTCAGGAGCGCTGGAATTTTCTTTCTTTATCTGTGCATTCAGTGTGTGGCTGAGCGCCTGCTACTTCACATCACAATTCTTGTGGAAACTGTAGGGTTCTAGAGCCGACGTAGATCCTGCTTTCCAGGAAGTTGTAGTTTACTTTCATTTGTACATAATTATAGGATGGGATGGGAAGTACAGGGTGCTACAGGGAAGGGCCGGTCCGGTGACGTGGGGCTCAGTGCAGAGAAAGCTCATGTCCATCCGTGATGCCCGGCCGCACTTCGCACTAAGTCAGCAGGTGTGTTTTAAATTCCCTAGTGAGCGCATATAGTACATTGATCTCAGTGTTGTAAGGGGCTTTGGGAAGATGCTGTGTTTGTGTTTGGAAGAGGATTTGGGTTTGGAAACAGTTTGGGCCTTGAAAACAGTTAAGCATCTGGGTATATGGGGCTGATGGCAAAACAGTTAGTTCAGAGGGAAGGACTGTGCTTTGCCTTGGATAGGGAAGAAGAGGGGCCACTGAGCTGAGCTAGGGTGCAGATAGTCGCAGCTTAGAGAATGGCCGGGCAGACTCGCTCTGGAGCTGGTCAGTAGAGGAGTGTGCGAAGGCTGTCGTGGAGAAAAGTGAGAGTTCAGCTGTCCCGGGTTAGGCACACAGGACTCAGCCCTCCATCATCTCGGGAATGCTTCTGTGACTGAGGCGCAAGCTGGTGTTCTGTGTAAATGACAGGGCCGGAGAGAGGCTAGGGTACTCAGCCCAGTCTCAGAGCTAGGAAGCGCCTGGGGTGACGTGGGCCCAGGATAGACGTGCGCTTTGCCGTGTCGGCGCACTGTTTTACAGTCTTCCACGCCAGCTTCAGGATTTAACATTCATTAATTTTTCTTGGATCATGTGAGAAGTCTTAGTCATATTTGCATTTTAATTTAGTTGGCTCCTCACTTATTTGTATAGCTAACTGGTGTGTGTAAGAAATGTAAATTTGCATAGACGCTCATGTTGATTTTCATACTAGCTTTTTAGTCTTTTAAGATAAATTTACATTTTCTTCTCTTAACATCTCTTTGGGAGGCCTTGCTGCCTTTTTTGGGTGGTCTATTTATGTGTGTGTGAGAAACATTTCCTCCTGGGATTTTCTGAGACTCCATATTTCTGTAGAAATTTATCAAATAGATTCAAAAACTCTATTTTCTGTTTTCAGATATTTAGAAAGCCCTGCCACATCACACCTAGATAGTCTAGCTTCATTGATTGAGTTCCCTTACTTGTGGGAAACAACAATGAGACTGACAATTAATTTGGGAAAATCATGCTGTCACAAGCTGAGGATTTAGCTCAGTGGCATAAGCGCCTGCAAGCAGGCAGTCATGAGTTCGATCCCCAGTACCGATAAAAAAGAAAAAGACAAAAAAAAAAAATTATGCTGTCACTCAGTTCTAGAGGAATTTTTTTTTTTTAAGAGAGCATTTCTTTTTTGGGAGCGCTGCTGTACTTTGCTCCCTTCCCATTGTTTATGGACCTCGTAAGTTGAAGTTGGCCACTTCTGCGGTGTTCCTTCAAGACTCCTGTATTGAGGTGGTGCTAACTGGGGGAGGCAGGTCACGGGGCATGGCTTTGAATGATAGGGGTGTTCTGTCTCCCGCCTTTTCCTCTCTGGCTCTTTGCTGGGCTTCCTGGATGCCGTGAGGTGAGCTGTTTTCCACTGCCACACTTTTCCTCCACGATACTCCTGACCATGAACCGAAACGTCTGAAGACGTGACACAGGATGTGCCTTTCCTCTTTAGGAATGATGTCACGGATTATCCCAGTGATGAAGTGACTGATAGCAATTTGGAGTAATAGCTGCCATCTCCTGTCCTTCAGATGAGTTGCCTGTGTGCAGAAAACACTCAGGGTTTACAGTATTGACTCTTTGTTTAGATTTTGCTAATGACTGGAGAAAATATTGGAGGTCAGTATTTTAAGATGTGCAATACTTAGCTTTCTG